AATCGTCGTTGCATTACGTAGCTATTATGTTAAATGGAAAGAGGATGGAAAAATGAGATAAATGGTAGATAAGATTTAACTAGGGAATTTTATTGTGATGATGATAAATTTCTAGATTTTTCTGCTAAATTTTGTTTACTTCGTAATTTTTTTCTAATTTTGTTAGAAATTGTTAGAAAGATTTTATGAAGGATCTTACGTAATAATGTTATTTTCATTGTATCTATTTTTCAACAATTTTTCATATTCGTTAATGATAATAATATGTAATTTTGTTTACAAAGAATATCACGGAGTTCTCCCATACGAGTATAATATTGTATCATTATAAATTTTCTATGATAAATGCAAATAATTGTAGCGATAATTGCACGTTATTCTAAATATCTTATATCTTTACAGATCCGACGAGGATGATCCCAGTGGGTGTAAATATAGAAGGTTGGAGAACGAGAATGTACAGGACAAAGAAAGATTTGCGAGGTGAGTGTCAGGCTCGACTTGCATGCTCTTCGTCTTACGATAATAAATGAGAGGAGTCGGTGAATGGGTTAAACATTTCTTTCTTTCTTTCTTTTTTTCTATCGGAAAATAATGCGTTCTATTCCTAGAAGATTCTGAAGATTGGGAATAAATATTTAATATCGGGGAAATTGTTCGCTTTCGGTTCAGAAATCTGGTTATTGGCAGAAGAATTGTTCATTGTACGATTTTAAATAATCAGAAAAGTGATCAGATATTATTGGAAAAGAATATTAAATTATAGAGGGAAAAAGGAAATTGATATATACCGCGCGTTAAAAATGAAATAAAATTATTTTTACACGTGTTGGAATATTTTGATTGTTATTATCATTTTCCAACTTTTCTTCTAAAGAAGAAACATTATTATGGAATAATTGACGGTAAGATTTAATTTACCCGCCTTTTTCTCTCTTAAATCAATTGTCATAAATCAACGAGCGACGATACCAAATTGCCGGGATGATAATATTTTTTTAATCGTAAAAAAAATTAATGAAACGTATACGTCAATAATAGTGTAAAAATTAGCATCTAAATTATGCATATAAGATGGGAAACTGTGATAGAAGATTTATGTTGATTAGACATTCTTTTTTATTACCTTCGATGATAATGCATTCAAGAAATCTTAGATCTCTTTTCTTTTTTGCATCTTTTGTATCATAGATTCCTAATCTGTAGATAACAATATCTAAAATGTTCTTAACGCTGTGGAAAATTTTTAACGCTTTTATCAAATACTTTGTCCCGTTACAGATCTCTTTGTTAATATCTCTTTTCCATTTTTCGAAGAGATTAAAAGAACATTTATCTTCGTCTTATTACGCATAGAATAGAAGATAAGACACAATTTTTTAATCGCTTACATTTAAAACCCTTAACAAACTCACTTCTATTATTCACCGACCAATAAGAAAGCAATATAAAAATTCGAACGAATGAAATCAACTTGCGTAGAAAATACAGAATCGTTTGAATGTAATTGATTAGCATACGATTCTTTGGAAAGATGAAAACAACGCTCGAGTGATCGAAAACTGCTTGTCCTCCTCTATGTTCGACAACAAATTTAACTCGGGTTTGACGAATGTGAAAGAAAGAGAGAGCAAGGAGAGGCTTGCTCCCCCCTCCCCGATACCCGATGCGGAGGACGTGATTGTTAATTCGTCTCACGAAATCGTGGGCCAATATGTTCCACCGGTACACCCTGTACATGGCCGGCCAAGTACGAAGATACATACATACCTACATGATACCCGCCAATGTGAGTCGATAGCGGAATGGGAAGCCCTCCAGGCTGCTCCAGCGTGGGAACACGGGGCCCACTTATACGCGCGCAACTCTCGCGCAAGTCCCATCCGCGGCGAAGACACCGCCGAGCTATCCCGATCGCGGCGACGCGATGCGCCGTCATTGACACGATATAACTTCGAAATAACCGAGCATGGACGTATTAATGTTTCCTTCGAGCGATTAAATAGTTTTCGAACGAATAAATTTCGGGTCCGATGAAATTTTCTAGATGACGATGTGAGTCGATATATACATATATATGGTAAGATATTTGGAATTGGAATAGGAAATTTTATAGAAGAAAATTAGGTTTTAATTCTTATGGAATTTTTCTTCGAAATAACCGAGCATGGATTAATGTTTCCTTCGAGCGATTAAATAGTTTTCGAACGAATAAATTTCGGGTCCGATGAAATTTTCTAGATGACGATGTGAGTCGATATATACATATATATAGTAAGATATTTGGAATTGGAATAGGAAATTTTATAGAAGAAAATTAGGTTTGAATTCTTATGGAATTTTTCTTCGAAATAACCAAGCATGGATGTATTAATGTTTCATTCGAGCGATTAAATAGTTTTCGAACGAATAAATTTCGGGTCCGATGAAATTTTCTAGATGACGATGTGAGTCGATATATACATATATATAGTAAGATATTTGGAATTGGAATAGGAAATTTTATAAAAGAAAATTAGATTTGAATTCTCATGGAATTTTTCTTCGATATATATATATGGTGAGATATATTTGGAATTGGAATAGGAAATTTTATAAAAGAAAATTAGATTTGAATTCTCATGGAATTTTTCTTCGATATATATATATGGTGAGATATATTTGGAATTGGAAT